TTCTAATGGGTACATCAGATAACGATGACTGCGGATCAAAGTTGTGTTGAGCAGTTTTGTGGAGGATGTTTCTGAAACAGAGTGGTGTTTGCGAAATATGTAGATGCTAACTTAACACTCCATTGTCCACCGGTCTTCATATGGCCTACATTATGCGAGAGGGAAATACTGCTTCTGGCTTATTTTAGAAACAGCGCATGTGACATGTGCCATTAATATCTCTCTACTATGAACAAACGCGTACTCCTGATGGTGAGCGAGAAATAGTATAGTTCCTCATCGCAAAATGTAATTCATACATAAAAAAACCGACGTTTGTAGGTTTTCCCTGGCTAAACGACACATATCCCCTAACATTCTCAGATGCGCAAACCACCGAAGTATGTGAAGAAAAATTTGGCGCCGCTTTTCCGGAATATTTTTTTGCCGGATGGAGAATCTATCATCATAGGACCCATAAGAAATTTTTCTGCGTGGAAAGTGAAATTTCAAAAGGCTCTGATAAATTTCACCAAGTTTGAAATGTTTCAATTTTTCTCGGAATTCGAGGAAAAATAAAATTTGACTGGAAGTCTACAACGTCGCAAACGGAGATACGTGGTCTCGCACTCTCGCCATCGACATGTTCTGCCGTGCAATAAGGAAGAACGCCGTATGAGCATTCCGGACTTGCCAAATTTCCTTCAGTAAAATGTTGATTTTTGAGGAAAGTTATGAATATATTTCATAGAAACTTTCAGGAAATATAGGTAAAATTACAAACAATATTATCTGAAAAATTGGCAGAAAAATATTTTTAAGTTTACCAGGAAATTCGTGTTTTATAAATGGAAATTTGGCATCGCCTGAAGGTTCATACGGCGTTTTTACTCCGTGCGGCAGTGTTGAAAACTGGAATATTAAAAAGTGAGAGATAAGGGGAGGGGGATGATGAAAAATTTCAAAATCGACAAGCGTTTCGTGGCTTCAAGAATGCATCCCCAGAAGTTTCAACACATTTCATGATATATCGTGAAATTTCACGCGAATAAATTCCACGGAATTTCATATCCCTGCTCTGGACTCTCCGCAAAAATCCGAGTTTCAACGGCGTGAGGCAACGTCCGCAGAGGGGGCTGCCGTTGGGCCTCCTACGCGCGGGAATCGGCCGGGGCTCGTGGATCGTGGCCGCAGGGCAGTGGGTCGCATGGTCAGTTTCACCGTGCGCCGCGGCGTCCGACTAGGAACCCCGACCGGTAGATGTCGGGCAGTAGCACACCTCACACTCCGCGCGCACTCACATCACACACAGCGCGTCGTCCGGTCGTGAGGACCGCGCTGGAGCGAGCTTTTGCCCCCCCCCCTCCTCTCCGTCCCCCCGGCGCCCCCCGCCCCCGCCCCTTGGGGCCCCGATTCGTGAGCGGAGTGGGACGCAAGGTGCACCGCACGCGAGAGGAAGGAAGGAAGCGAGCGCAGGAAAGAGGACATGCTTGCCAGATAGTGTTGCAAAATTAGCTCTTTTCCCCACTTGAATCGATTTAAGCTGTACACATTGTATCGCACAACTTGGCAACCTCGAAAGAGGATGAGACGCCGTCGTCGGAGAAATAGTTCAAGAAACTATGCGCTCGCGTGCCCGTGCCTAAGCTTCCTTACGTTCGCGTTGTCGAACGAGGCTAAAATTTAGAAATTTCGCCATTTTCCTACAAAAGAACGTAAGTGCATTCCGACGCTGTGAAAATCCCTATAACAAATTGCATTTTTCCTCGGAAACTGCCGAATGGTTCCAACTAAAAATTTTAGTTATTTTTCTTCCGATTACACGAAAAAGTCGGGAAAATTTTCGGTGGAAATTGCATGGTTATATTCTTGTGAAACCTTGCATTATTTTGGTCAGTTTTGAAATCTTGAGATGAAGTTACATTGCTTTGTCTGGGAAGGGATGGGTTTGCCATTCAAATTATGAGTAAATTGGCGATGGATGAAGTTGGGGAATGGAACAGCTTAAGACGTTGATCACCATTGAAACGTCATGCAGATCACGGTTGGCATTTTATTCGGATCCTAACGTCACGTCAACTCGTGAAAGAGCGTGATCACTTTGCAGGGTCTTTGTAAAGTTCGGCTAACTTTTGAAGAGATATCCGTCGAAAAATCGGGGTCATATTCCACTAAGAAAAAACTTATAAATCGTGGTCTGAACCAAAATGTAAAAAGACGTCGGTTGAATAAACTGAGGATACAGATGATACGGTCACTCAGATCAAGAGTAGGGTTGTATGAACCCAGGGTCTGACTGACAAGGGGGAGGGAGGGGGGAGGGGGTAAGTCCAGTCTTTATGAAGTCCACATGATTTAATGTCCAACCAGGAATATGTCCAAAATTGCCCAATACATTGTCCATATTGTGGACATGTTACGTCCACATTTTTTTCTTCTCATTTAAATGACAGGAACCACCTCAACAATAAATGCATACTACTACTACTACCTTCATTCTTAAAAAACATTTCATTCATGAATCAAGTCATGAAAGATTAGTTAGTTGGTTATTATAATTTTGAGACATTCAGCGACTCAGGCTATTAACGTCTTTACAGGTAATTTTGAAAATAGGAGTATGAACGAAAATTTAGATTTTTAAATTAAGAGAGGTGAAGAGTTTCAGAATTTTGGTGGCAATATTAGGTTCATCGCATGTAAGAGGGTTTGTATTTCTGTTGATTGTAGGGGAGTAGATCTGTGATTGGAGATATCGGAGGGAAGAGCGGTCCATAAGTATGTGTTTGATGGTTAGAGGTGATGAATTGCAGAAGTGGCAGGTGGGTTGGTTTTCTTTAGATATGATATGATTGTGAGTGAAAAAAGTGTGACCTATCCTGAGACGCGCAATTTGGACTTCACATGATCTTGATTTGTGGTTAGATACGGACTCTAAGAGCAGATAAAAACATATGTTCATGGTACACTGTACGGATATGATAAGATGAAAACCAAAGCGGCAGCCTAGGAAACGCTCCAATGCCAAATTAAACATTTTTCAGTAACAGATGGAGTCAAAATTGAAAGTTCTCTTTCACTAGTTATTTCGTGCGCCTTCAATCTTGTAGGATACTGTGCAACACCTCTGACGCGAAATAGTTGCTTAAAGTGTTGCGGCGCGGCAGGCAACCAACGTGACACGCGCATAGGCGCCTACAAACCTAACGGGATACTTCACGCGTTGCGCAATGCGTGAAGTATCCCGTTGGGTTTGTAGGCGCCAGTGCGCGTTCTGCGCTGCTAACACGCCGCGCCGCTCCGCTCTGTGTTAGGCTCTAATATTTAAACTCGCGGAGTGACTGAGGAAACGCTTCAAACTGACGCTTGGATTTGATTTTAGTGGACTTTACATTTGTGGACTTAACTTAGTGGACGTTTAAGTAATGGACTTAACAATAGTATGGGCTTTAGAACTGTGGACGTAAAAATTGTGGACGAAAAGTTTGTGGACGTAAAAAAAGTGGACATAAAGTCCATGTACCATCGGTACTCAAGCTCTAACGGTATAACTTGAGTTTACCTTCCTCGACGGGAGATTATACCTATGCTGCCGTCGTGCTAAAGAAGAACGCTGTATAAACATTCGAGAGTTGCCAAATTTCTCTTGATAAATCAAGTATTTCTGACGCAATTTAAATAAACTTTCCCTCGAAATTTTCAGATATTTTAGATCAAATTGCGTACATAATTGTCTGAACATTTTGGAAAATAATAATCAGAATTTTCCCAGTGAATTCGGTTTTCATCGGAAGACATTTGGCAACGTCTGAAGGCTCATACGGCGTTCTTCCTTCGCACGGCAGTATGGACTGAGGCATTGTATGCATGGGATGAGCTCACACTGGGAAGTTGCGGGCGGAGTGGAAGTTGTGGAGCTTTCTTCCCCGCGAGGTGCTTTGGTGCTTGCCTCCCCCGCAGCCTGAGGCCTTGCTCTTGTCTTGGGCTCGGCGCTTGGGCCGATGGAGCCGGTGATTGGGCCGATGGGGCGAATGCTCTTGCTATCGATATCGCCATCCGAGCGGCGGGCGCGGACGCGGGGAAGGAGCGCGGACAAAAGAGCTATGAATGCGGATCTTCCCAGGAGCCCCCGGCCGGACCAGACCCGATCGCCACTCCGGTCCCACGCGCCGCTGCCTCTTCCGCCCGAAATCCACCCATTTTAACGCAAATCTGCCGTCCTCAGCGAAAACGCCGTAACTTCAGTCTAAATTTTTTCAGCCGTTTTACCGAAAAATGATTTATTACTGGAAAACTAACGACCATTCATCCTTTTTAGTTCTAAAATAGCTGCGTCGTACCACTGAGAATTCAAATTTATACAAAATGGAGCATCGTAATGATCAGGTTTTCTCGTAATAGCACAGTATGTCCGGAAGAAAAATGCAAAATGTTATTGAAGTAACGGCGTTTTTGCTGTGGAAACTTGCTGTACCTAAACAATGGCATTGCCCTCCGCCGATGGAAAAATTATAACCGCACTAGACGCTCTTGTTTCTTAAGAAAATTGTCTAACACCATAATCAGGCCATTGAGTTTGCAAAATATTTTCACTTAGAACATAAAGAAAGTTGTTTTTAAATATTGTGTGTCTGTTTAGCGAAATTCTGAAAGAATGTTGTCAAAAATAGCATTCAGAGGAAAAATTGATAATTTTTCTAAAAATATGATAACCGCGAACCGAAGTTCGAGCCGTGCGACCGAGAACTTTCGTCACCCGGACGAAAAACTTTGGCATTCCAAAAGAAACCAAAGCCCTTTTCTCCTTGTAAAGCCACTCTCATTTGCATGCGAGGCGGTCCGGTCGTCCGGACCGTAAAATCCGGCGCCATCGCTTGCGTCTCGCATCTCGCGGCTCGCCATCTCACTTTCTACACGTTACCGCGGGACCGTGATCTACACCCGTACTACCGTCCGGGACCCCGTGCCCCCCCCCCCCCCCCCCCCCCCCCCCCCCCCCCCCCCCNGCGGAAACGGCCTCAGTCAAACACCGCGCGCGCAACCGCCATCGTCCGAAACCGCGATCCGAACCCGGCTCGCACGTGGGGGACCGGCTTTCGACTCGGAAATCCGAGTTTAATGGTTCCACCTGTTACTCCGCTTAAACTGTTCGCCGACCCGTGCTTGTGATCCCTGCGCTTTCTATGGACCCGCCCTGGTTTTTGGAATGACGTGTGTGGTGTGTGCAGTGTGAACGGGGCTCGGGTCTAAGTCGGGGTTGGATATGACTTACGTTTATTTTACTCGGAAAATAACGCTCAAGTCTCTAAAGAGCGTCCTGCACTCTTGAAGTCGTGAAGTTCACTGAACAGCATTTATCACAATTTCAGCTTGGAAAACGTGACGAAAGTGTTTACATTGGAACTGAATCGTAGAAAAAGCGCATCTCGTTTGGAGTTTCATGTGCAGTTCAACTTTGGAATTTGTATGCAAGATCTGTTTTTTTTAGAAAAATAGTAATTACATGTGGTAGGATTATTTCGTCCTTGAGTAATACGTACTCTGAGAAAAAAAGTTCGGTCATATCAACCGAAAGTAACGTGTTCAATATCAGCCGTATTGTTCGGATCATGCGACTGCACGCTTGGTTCCGAGAACCATATCCTCGGTTCGTGCAACCAAGTTTTTTCTTTACTTTATTCGGTTTGAATGCTCGGTTGCATCAAACGAGGATACGGTTTCTAGAACCGAGAGTGCGGTCACATGAACCGAACAATAACGGCCGATATTGCACACCGTGGTTCATAAGACTGAAGTTTTTTTCTCATTGTAGCGCTCAAACTTGTCGTGTGAGCATTAAACTTACAAATTACTTCAGTGTGTTTATACAAAGATAGAATAGGACACTCATGAAAACCCCATTTCTATACCTGGAAATGTTCATTTATGAAAATTTCGAATGAGGTTTTGCGAAATCAATACTTTTCTACTCGGCTTTTTTCACGAAGAAAAAAAGGGATACAAGTCCTATCCCTTTTCAAAATGGCGCAGTTTATTTATGTTTTAAAAAACTTGCTGATTTTCTGACAATCCGTTGATTCAGCATGATTGAAAATTCAATATTTTCCCCCTATAACTACAGATCTACATATTATTGAAATGAAACATTTTAACATTTTAGAACATGATTTTGATAAATCGGTCTGCATGAAATTAAGACACATTCATTTTCAACTGCTGTATTTCAATTCCAATATTTAAACGAATCCATCGTTTCATCGCTTGCATGAGTCTTCACAAAACAAAACGTTCGACCATTTTTGCTTTTCATTAACCATGTATCTGAATGTGGAAGATTTCTAATTTTATCACTTAAAGTGAACGCATCTTCTTGGAACATAATCACTGAAAAATATTTGTATTTTTTTCAAAACTGAACGAACATAAAATAATTTAGGGCACGCGCATCCGCACGAGCGCAATGATTCAAGTTCACAGAGCATTTCTATTTATTTTTCAGAAATATGGGTGGTAACGTATCGGAAATAGGCCAGAGCGGAAATGGGTGACCTCGCGGCGATAAAAGAGCACGAGAAAAAGTTACTGGGTTATTTATTTGATAAGCAGTAGTGATAAATTGGTTGCGTAAACCCCAGTAACCTTCAATTGTGGAGTGAGTCATGAACTGACATTTGGACGATAAATTTAATCAACCGATTCAATGATAAACTTAAAAGATGTTCGGTTTGATAATGGTTGTAAAATACTCGTGCCCGTATGTTTACTCGCGAATGGACTTTTGGCAAGTGGAGTGAAAAACATTTCAAGTTTTCTTGGAGCCTTTTACGGAATGAATAAGTTAAAACGCATGTTGATAAATTGAAAGGACTTCACCGAGTTCTGAGCATGATGCATGCACAAACCGGTTGTGTATAAATCGAGAACATCCAGTTCCGAATGGTGTTAAATTCAGCGATGCAGGTGTTCAAATAACAATGATTTGGGAATCTTAGGACCATAGCCCCTGGCTACCACAACGAAGAAGATGCTTTGGGATTGGGACCACGGATTTAAGCAGATGAACTGACGACAGTAGATTTGAAGGTAAGCTTTTTTCTTCATTCCTGTCGACTTTGGTTTTTTATATTTTTAATGAGACTTATTTTACCACTTTTTTGGATACACAAACACAAAATGAGAAAAATTTTGGCGGATCGATTGTAAGAGCATTCCGTAGTAATGCTAATAAAATTAGACACTATTCTAAGCATGTTATGGGAATGCTTGGTTGTTATAAAGCATAAAACATGTATTTACAAAGAGGAGAACAAAGAAAAAAGGATTTATGATCCTAAAGTGTACTTTAAAATTATGTTTTGTTTCAAAAACTCCTTTAAACCGCGTGTGCGTCTGCCCTATACTTAATGACGTCCCATTGACAACCATTCAACTAAGTAAGCATGATTCTCTTTTCTGCCACTGCGCATACTGTATGCTCAGAAAAAAACGCTGTGTGAGCCTTCAAACGTTGCCAAAATCTTCAAAAGCATATTTCCGGGAGAAATTTGATTTGAATTCTGTGTGCAATTGAATCCAATTTGTAAGTAGGTAATGCCAAGGAAAAAATTTCAAAATTTGTCTAAAGAATTAAATTTTTATTCATGAAAATTTTGCAGCGTTCGAGTGCAAATAGGGTGTTTTTCCTTAGCAGGGCAGGATTATGCTATTAAGTTGCGCACATAACAGCATAACGTCGACCATAACAAGCATTTTCTGAACACCATCGTTTTTTTTTTCTTCTTTTTTTTTCAATTGGTTTTTTCGAACTCCAGTGACTATCTTTTAGCCGGAGGCGTTGCTTTTCAAAATTTACCTTGATATGAATGATATTTACTGTGTTGCGTGAGTGGGGGCTGCTTATGGAAATATTCAGGTTCAAATTTTGTATGCCACCCTTAGCGAGGAATTGAATGATGTCGATCCATCGTTCCATCGATCCATCGCTCTCGGATTTACTTTCCCTCAACACGTTTAAATGACGCTCGTTGATGATAAATCAACACATTGCCTCGCTGAAATGATTTGGCGCATGCACGCACTAATGAACGGCACATGGTACCTATGACGCAATAGCACATATCGTTTGAAATTACAAACGCTGAAGCTCCTCTGATAAGCCTCTAATTGTTCTTACTCTTAAAACTTGCAGGAGAAAAATTGTAATTTTCAGGGAATATTGACCCTAGCGGTTCAATGACGCGAAAAAGATGGTTTTAAAACACCTCTAAAAAGGATGAGTAAAGTTCCTCACAAATTTTTCCATAAAACGCGGTTTCATAGCAAGATTTCTGGCGTACCTTGCGGGTGACATGTACCGATAATGGACCAAATTAGAGACTTTTGAGTTTTTTCAGAACTAGCATACTTAAGGCTGATTCGGATACACAGAAAAATGTTTGTGTAACTTTGCGCGTAAAGTCTTCTTCCTCATGAACGTTGTCCAATCGCACAAATAATGAGAAATTCGATTTTTTACGTGATTACGAAAAAAGTCTATCATCGATGAAAATCCCATCTACGTAGATAGACTCTTCCTTCACATGAATGGATTAAAAAAAATGTATGGAATCTGAAACTACTACAGCCTTTTGGACCGAGTTAAGCAGAAAGGAACCAAGCCACATCAGCTACTGCCAAATTTACTTGGAAAATTTAATTTTTTACATGGAAACGGTTGTGTGGATTTTTGTGCAAATTTCAGAGAATTTTCTGCACACTACGAAGCAAATGTTACAAAACTTTCAAAGGAATCCGTACAAATGTTCTCGTGTAAACATTTAAATTGCCCAGTTAAATTTAGCAATAACTGGTGTGGCTTGGTTCCTTTCTACAAAACGCGGTCCATTTACGCAGTGAGTTGCCGCTATATCGCACTTTGGCGTTCTGCGACACCTAATCGTCACGTGTGCCAATTTTCGAAAATCTTTTGGGCAACTGCCATCGTAAATTTTTTTTTTTGTCGACACCCTACCGCCATTCTCTCATTAGGCGTTCCATCGCCTTCTTCCAGGAAGAATCTAATTCAAAATTTGTATGGGCAATTTCTCATCCGTCTTTCCTTGCTTATGCCCATACTAAACAAACCATCTGATCATGACGTCATGCAAGATGTTACTTTTAACCCTCAATATCCCACGAATTCTTCCATTGCGGACACGGTCTCCAGTCATGATACTGGTACAGGGTCGGACTGGCTCACATCTGAGGGCGTAGAACCTTGGCTGGTTAAAGGGGCGTCATGTGATATTTCCTGGAAGGGCATCCCCTACGTGGAGAGGAGCTCAGACAATTTTGGCAAAGCAGCACGAATTTACGCTATTTTCAAGTTCAAAGTTTATTAATCGTACAGAGTAAAAATTGCAAAATTGAACGTATTGAGGTAACCGACACACTTACTTAATGAAACCATTAAAAATTAAAGGCACTAGACGCATCCAAGTACCATTGTTCCCAAAAGAACCAAGCCAGTGCTGCGGTTTACCCGAGCTTAAGACGTGGGTTTGCAAATCCATCCTGAAAAAGAATCGGACGTGAACCTGAAAAAAGAAGAAAGAATCGCATCAACACAACCGTAGACGGAAAAGACGTATTCGGGCCTCTTTTTTAACTTTTCTTCCGAATCTGAGTGACACCTCATTGACAGCATATGGCAGAGCATTGAGAGTTCACGCATAGCGTCATCGCGCCTTCAATTTTGCAGATGCAGCACGGACATCCATCAAGTACGAATAGTTGTATCCCTGCGCCGTCGATAACGCTCATTCTTTCCCTCGCTTTATTTCCATATTGTGTTTGTTTGCGTTTCTCTTATTCGTAATGGTGCTTCAAACTAGTAGCATAGTACAGAGCATTGCGAGTATAAAAATAGATTTAAAAGTGAGGAAATGCACCGCCTAGTGATATCATCTGGCGGCACTGAAAAAATTGGAAATATTTATCTTCCCAATTCTTAGAGAATTCTACACGCTATTTCGCCTAAAGTATCAGAAAATTGTAAGGAAAAATATTCATAATTTTCCCGAAAAACACATACTCTCTCGGAAGAAATTTGCCAATTTTGCAACTTTGGACTTTGCAACTTTTGAATGCTCCTACGGCGTTTTACCTCGGAACATCGGAATGGGAGTGATACTCCCATTCCGATGAGATACAACTCAAGGAAATCTAACTATCCAAGGAACTAACTGTCCAAGGAACTAACTATCCAAGGAACTAACTATCCAAGAGGATACAACTAATCACCGCCGCACGAAATATTCCATGTTCCATTCCAATGCCGTTTTCGGGAATCACCCTCAACGGATGCCAAGTCTGGCACTCGCCACCCTCTTGGCGACGAGGGGTAGCCAGGCATCCAGTTCCACCAAATCGCGGTCGCGTTTGGGTTTCCCCGGTGTCGGATTTTTCCGTGCGACGGCTCGGCGGGGCGGCGCGGCGCCTTGGGTCGGTGATGAAAACCTGGCCGCGTTTTGATTGATCATTACCATTGATTTCCTGGCATTCTGCATTCGAGGGCTACGACATCTACCTCCCGCCAGGCCATGCTCCGCTACCGGCTCCCGCATTCCCATTGTTCCGCTCTTCCGCACTAAGGAAGAACGCCTTATGAGCCACCAGACGTTGCCAAATTCCTGTCGAAAAATCACGATTTTCAGGAGAATTACCGAATATTCCCCTTCCGATTTTTCGAGAGCGTTCGTTCTTAATTTGCTTCAAAAAGTCAGAAAGTTTCAAGGCAAAATACTCATAATTTTCTACTAAACTAACTATTATCTGGGAGGAAATTTGGCAACATTCAAATGCTCATGCGATGTTTTTCCTCAGCACGGCGGCGCTCCGCTCTGTTCTCCCGCGAGGCTGCAAAATTCCGCTTCCGGAGTTGCCGAACTGTGTGAATAATCCGAAATTTGGCGGGAGAACCAGGAATGGATCATAAGACAGGGAGAATAAGAGCTCTTAAAGACCCATTTCCTCCTTAAAATTCCATTGAGAAGACGTTGAAAATATGAAAAACGTCCAATATTAACTTGTTTGAGAGGCATTAAGATTTGAAGAATATCTATAAACGTTCCGCTTGCAAAAAAATGACAGCGCAGGCCAAACGAACCTTGAAAAAAACCTGTGCGTCTTGACAAATAAGTCATGCTCGTTTCCACACATTTCATTCCCTCTCTGGTAACCAAAAGTCACCTCTCAGCAATGTTTTTCTACTGTTAAAAATACCGAAATTAGTTTAAACATCTGTTTAATTTAAGGTTTTTGTGGATGGGAAGGAATGTGAATTGCCGTACACAGAAGACGCTACTTCCTCATTTAGGAGTAACATTTAGAAATTGTATCTCACGCTTAAGCCCAATGCACACTATCAAACTTTTCGTCCGACATAATTGAGCGAAAAGCTGGATGGAAAGTTGAACGAAAAGTTTAATGTGACGTCACATTCAAGTTTCCATTCAGTTTTTCATCAAATTGTCGTTTTCTCGCGTCAGTATCACACTATCCAACTTTTCATTCGACAAGTTGCATTCAAGAGTTGAATGAAAAGTTTGATAGTGTGAATCGGGCTTTATTGCAGTGCCAACAAAAAACGCGTTATGAGCATTCGAAGGTTGCCAGGTTTCTTCTGATATGATATTTATTTTGGCGGAAATTTATGAGAATCTTTCTGTGAAATTTTTGGATACTTTAGATGAAATCGCAAATAAAATCCTCTACAAATTTAAAGAAAAATACTCTTAAATTTCACTGGAAATTTGTGTTTCATCAAGGAAAATCGGGCAACATCCGAGGGTTCATGTCGTCACCTTCCAGGCAAAGTATCACAAGCGCCATGCGATGTTTAAAAATTTCCGCCGCCATTTTATTTCTTTACTGAGAAATTGTTGGTTGAATCTGTTTGGAAATTTCACTAAATATTATCGGCAGCACAAAAAAAATTCAGTGAAATTTTCGGACAGCTTCGTTGAACAATTTCTCTGTAAAAAAATAAGATGGCGGCGAAAATGTTTAAACGTCGCATGGCGCTTGTGATACTTTGCCTGGAAGGTGACGATGTCGCGTTCTCCAATGGCATGTTAGCACAGTAGTTTGCTCAGGTCACAATGACACACTGAAGTTAATCCGAATCACTTTTACTTGAATTTCCGTGTTTTTAACTTGGTTTTCTCCCGCGCTG